TGCAGAGTCCGATGTGAATGTTGGCGCAAAAAATTAGGACTTAAAAAAAAAAAAAAAAAAAAAATGTGCAAACAGACAGATGGTTAAAATATCCGGAATACCGCAGTTCACTTTCACCAGAATGAGGCTGGTTTTGCAGAATTTGACGGGGGTTGACCTCTGGACACAATTAGGACGCAGCTGCACGAATCTGTCTTTTTGATCGATATGTGAATCTGCTGAGGCTCGTGCCAGTTGTGGATTTGTAGTTGACCCCGATTTCCCTTCTGCTCCTGATACCAACCTTTATACAGCAACAGTTTTACCTTTCTTTAAATGTGGCGTAATGTTATATGAATAACACAGTGAAAAAATAAGTATCAAACTCAAGGCCCGGGGGCCGAATCTGGCCCGCAATGTAATTATATTTGGCCCCTCGAGATCATATCAAATGTGTACTAGAGTTGCCCTGGAGTATTAGTCGCACCAGGCAAAGGATTAAAAAACGTAGGACTTCCAGCAGATTGTAGCAGATACTGGTACACAAACCTAGAGTGCCCTCTAGTGGCTGTCAGTGAATCAAAAGATAGATAGATAGAGTGTTAGCAACATATATGCTGTTAACAGGCTGCCCCCTTGTGGTTCCTCTGGGTATCGCATCCAGGATTGGCTGATCTCTGCTTCAGAGGCGTGCTACTGGCAGAATTTGTAGTATTAGCAGCGTATGTGCTACGTTTATGGTATTAAGCTTTGGTCGTTCCAGGTACAATGTTTACACAAAACTAAAGTATTTCCAGTGTTTCCATATGGAAAAAAATTCGACACGACATATCTTTAAAATAGCATATGTCATAGCATATCTCACTACCACAGTACATATCTGAGAAAAGAGAGGGAAAGGAAGGGAAAACATGCACAATTGTCGTCAAATCTTCAATAAATATTACGTTTGGCCTAAGACTTCATCCCATTTTTTTTTGGGATGCGCTGAGGTGCCAGCAGGGGGCAGGAGGGGCGTTCCAATGGAATATGGCACGCTGGACATAAGTGTACCACTGCTGTAATGCTTGAATGATAACAAGCCTCCAGCCACTAGGTGGCGGCAACTCATACAGTGGTTTGTACAGATAAAAAAAATATACACGTTATCAGGAAAACATTTCTGTCCCCAAGGGGGAGGCACGACAGGTACTAATTGAGAACCCTAACTGGCTTAATGCTAAGCTAATTTAGCCAAAATATTATAGCATTAAACGTTGAAAGTACGTAAGCAAAAAAAAACAAAAAAAAAAAACGCATATTTACCAAGAAGAAATTATGATTTTAAAGTAAATGTACCCACTCGGAAAAAAAAAAAACTCTTAGCTTATTAATACCAATTTCTCTACGTTTTTTCTCGTCTTCAGTTCTATAAATTAGCCAAGGACTGGTGGCTATTCGGTGCGTATTTCTGCTTGCCGCTGGCCTGCACTGCTATCTTTTACACTCTGATGACCTGTGAGATGCTGAGGAAGAAGAACGGAGTCCAGATCGCGCTCAGTGATCACATAAAACAGGTATAAATACGATTTTTCAGTAGCAAATTTGAAGGCAATTTTTTTGTGATATTTTCACCACATTTAGCTACATGTATCGTATGTGTTTGTGTTTGTTTATAGAGGAGAGAGGTGGCCAAAACAGTTTTCTGCCTGGTTCTGGTCTTCGCCCTCTGCTGGTTGCCTCTTCATCTCAGCAGGATCCTTAAGCTGACCATTTACGACGAGAAGGATCCCAACCGCTGTGAACTGCTCAGGTACGGAAGGACATCAGTCGTGGTGCATAAATGTTGACTCGGGGGTGGGCAGATAGATGGAGCGTTCGTGTGAACTAAGATAAATGACATGATGTAAAAGTCATGCATAAAGGCTAAATTGCTAAAATGCTTTTAGCATTTTTCCACGCCACCTGCTGGGGGAACGTGTGTATTGCAGGGAAAAGGTAGAAGTATAATGATTATATAAATAAATCATATCATTTTGGAAATGTTCGGCGGGACGGATTAAAAAGCTGGACGGACCGCATCCGGGGCCCCCGGGAGGCCTTAGTTTGCCCATGCCTGCTTTAGCACATACTAGTGACTAGTGAAAAGTATTTTCCGATTATTTGGTCATTTTTTCACGCCCATGTCTGTTTTACCCCTCTGCAGTTTCTTCTTGGTGTTGGACTACATTGGCATCAATATGGCGTCTATAAACTCCTGCATCAACCCCATCGCTCTCTATATGGTCAGCAAGCGCTTCAAGAACTGCTTCAGGGTAAGCCCGCAGCAGAGGTGCGGACTCGAGTCGCGCGACTTGGACTCGAGTCAGACTCGAGTCCAAGTCGATTTGATTTAGACTTTAGACTCGACTTGACAAGACGTAAAGAGACTTGCAACTCGACTTGGACTTTAAACATCAATGACTCGTGACTTCACTTGGACTCGAGCCCCTTTGACTCGACATGACTCGATGCTTTCTCCAAACACCCAAAGTGATCTGTGTGAATATATTGTTATTTTGTTTTTAATAGGACTCGAAACAGAGACGTAAGGACTCGGGACTTGACTTGACAATTTTTCAGTCTTGACTTGGACTCGACTCGGACTTTGCCTGTCTTGACTTGAGACTTGACTCGGACTTGAGTGCAAAGACTTGAGACTTTTTTTGGAAATAGCTAGCCTATAGTTGATCAATTTGAGTTGTATTCCTAGAGGTGGGAGAAAACTTTTTTTTTTTCTGTTCGTCCAGATGTCGCCGTACAATGTTTTGAAGTCCGTTTTTTTTTTTTTTTTTTTCCTCCCCGCACTTTAGTCATGCTTGTGCTGCTGGTGCCTCCCACCCGAGATGCTGATGGATGAGAAACCGTCGTGCCTCAAGTTGAAAGTCAACGACCGAGCCTCGGACCAGAGCAACTCCCGCATGACCAACAAATCGAGCACGGCCTGAGGAGGCAAAGACAACAAGGAAGATTTCTCAAGCACAGCTGTCTGAAAAGAAGACCATTCTTTTGCGGCAGAGACGACGAAACTACGCCGAATTTCCCACCGGGAACACACCGTGCGCTTCACAAAGCACTTTTTCTCGGGTCACAGTTGTTATCCACGCAGCAGATACTCGCCGCCTGCCAACCGACTGTTGCTTTGGTGCCAGAAGTCCTCTGATAGGTTGCTTGTCCCCTATCTGCATTTATCTGTTACTCTTAACTGAATATTTTTTTTGCCTCAACCGCCGTAAAAGCTTGTATGTCTTTCTGCTGTTGCCGAGCGGGAAAAAAAAATCAGTTCTCTACCGACTCTTCGCGGTTCTGAGCTTGCGAACTTTTTTGCTTGCTTGCTTATTTAGATAAACTGCTGAAGTGGACACTCGGACGGGATCGTTGTAAAAAAAGACGCCAAAGCGTTGGTTTTCTCCGGCAATATTATTGCGTCGCGCCTTGGTTTTCTCCGGCAATATTATTGCGTTGCGTTGCGCATGTTTAAGGAATGTGCTGCTCACTTACTTTGAATTTAAATTTTTTTTTATTTTTATTGTAACTAGTTACTGGACTACTGATGTTGGTTACTGGCTACAGGAACTTTCATGTATAGTATTATACTCTTTAATAATGGACCACTTGAAGTGGCGGCATATTACCATGACCTGACCTAAAGTTGGTATGATTAACCCTTTCATGCATGACGGTCACTACGGTGGACAGCTATTAAAATGCCATTGTCTACGATAAGAATAGGTTTTGATGGCAGTGTTGCATGTAAGCCTCTACAGTGGACGCCTGAGAATCCACAAATGACATTTTAATAGCTGTCCACTGAAGTGACCGTCATGCATGAAAGGGTTAAAGGTAGGTTTTGTATTTGTAATGAGTGAAAAAAAAAAAAAAGAAGAATAAAAACAGAGAGTCCGATGGGTTGTTTTCTTTATAGGAAAAAAGAAAAAGTCAACGTTGTTAGTGTTTTCTGTACAGATACACACTTATAACCATTTATGCATGGGGCACATGTGACCGTGTGTCTGACTATGTGAGTGTGCCTTTGTGTAGCCGGTGTGTTACTGTCCGTGTGGTTTTGCTTCAAGTGTAACTGCAGGCAGCGCCATGTGATACCGTTAACAGAGGCCGTCACTGTGATCTTTTATAGTAACCACACACACACACACACACACACACACTGCTTAAGGGCCCTAAACCAGTATCATGCATGTCACATTAGCAGTCAAAAGACTTCTGTGTTCTCTGATCTCCCTTCACCCTTAAATCATCTGCTCATCTGCCTTTTTTGTCCTTTCCAGCCTTGGATCTCTGTGAAAACAAGTTCAGAATCGCAATATTTCTCAATAGAACAATCGGCTTCTTTGCTTCAATGTGTTTTAAAAAACCGTAACTAGCATTAGCATTAAATACGGTACGAGAAATAAAAGTATCGCTACACAGTAGCTGAGAGTCAGATAAAGGTGAGCAAACAGTAGACCCCCCAAAAAAGGTTAAATCTAAAATGAAATAGCTAACTGAGAAATAATAGCTTAAAGTTGTGACGAAAAAACAACTAAATCCTAGGCCAGAAATAGCTTAGGAGCTAGTTAGTTATCAATGATGATAGCTCAGTCGTATCCAAGAATTAGCCAAAAGCTAATACGCTAGGTCAACAATTTCAGCAGTTTGACAGTATTTTAACATCAGGCGTTAGCAAGACTCACAGCTAGCTGTATTGCTGTCAGTGTGAAGAAATGTGAACGTGAAATGATATATTTTAGTATATAAGTAACCTCTTATATGGGGGTGTCAGAGGGGACATTCAGTATACTGTACTGTCTTTATTCATGCTTGAACGATAAACAGACCTCCGGTCACTAGGTGGCAGTAGAGCTGACTTATTATAATAATTACGGGGGCTAAATATTTTAACATTGATATATATATATTATTAAATGCTAATCACCAAATGATCATCATTTAGTGTTTGGATTTTTTTTTTTCTTATCCAGGGTGTTGGTGCGTAGGTTTGCCACTAGAGGGCATCGTGGGCTTGACAAAGCACATGTGTTTAACTTAATGCCCTTATCTGTAAACATTTGTCAGCCATATTGTTGTATCCGTTTATCAAGCTGTATTTCACTCCTGTGTTTGATGGTATATGTATGAAAAAAAAAAAAAACATTTTTGTTTTATCAGATAGTTAAATTTGTAATGTAAAATTAAAGAATGTTGTCATCTCTGTGCAGTATTGTATTCATTCCATTTTTAAAAAAAAAAAATTCAAATCATTTCCAGATGAATCAGGAATGAATTTATGGGGGAAAATATACTAAAAGTCAATCTCTCAACGTCTTGAACGCGGGTACCAAATATATAATGTCCTTTTCTTTCCGAAAAGCAAATGCACCAACATTTCCATACCATGACTAATTGTTGGAAATATTGTGGTGACAGCATGCCATTTGGTCCAAAAGTGGAGACAATCAGTCCCAAAGAAGCAAAAGAGAACTTGTCCTCGTGCCACTTTTTTTGCCCAAGGGCCTGACTTTGTATTCAGATAATCACCATATCGTGATGTGTGTGCTGTCGCTCGGAGCGATTCTGTTTACACGGTGCGCTCTTTAATCAGATCGTCAAACACAGTACCTGCTCTATGTCCACCCATATACACAGGTTGCATGTCCTCTCTCTGCTTTACATTGCAAATACACCCGTGTTTACTTTTGCTCCTCGCTGACAATGGTCTCTATGGGTTACCTTGACTCACAACATAGGTATCCAATCAGATCTGAGAGAGGGGGCAGTGCCCTGGAAAAAAAAAAAAAAAAGGACAAGAGGAAGCAGGGAACAAGTGACAAGAACTGAAAGTGAACACACACACACACAAAAAAAAAAATCAAGGTTTGAGGTGAGGTCTGCGAAAAAGCAGATAAAGCTTCTGTATTTGGGATGACGGCGATTTTGTTTTGTGTGTTTGATCATCCAGGCGGTTCTGCTACATGCAGGCACATATCGTAAAAACAAAAGGTAAGCCTTTTACTTTGACTTTTCTTTTGAAAAACCTGCCATTCTTAAGTGTAAGAACACAGACGATAACCAGGGCACACGTCGCCGGGGACCGCCAGCAGGCGTCGTGCAGCACTGCATGACACGGTTTGAAAAGAAAAATTGTGTGTTTGCGCATGTTTGAGTGACAGATAAAGGAAGAGGGCAGAGACATTTTGAAATGTTATCATATATTGCGCTGTTTGAAAATGGTTTTCTGGGAGGTAAACGTCTTCAGACGTTTCCAAAAACATACAGGTTGCATCACTGAAAAACTTGTATGTTTTTAACTATCAAAAGCCCAAAAAATGAACAATAAATCGTCAATGAAGATTTTTAGGATCAGCTCACAGAACGCGATTGAATGTTAGCGTAAATTAGCATGCTATATGACATTTATCAGCACGGCCTCTCCCTTTTTGTGATTCACTAATAATGCCTGAAAAGTGTACGGAAATTGTATGTTACACTCCAATTGATAATTGTTTTTGTCTTTAAAGTCTACTTTTTTTTACCGCATTTTTGGGATTATAAGTTGCACCAGCCAGAAAATGCATAATAAAAAAGAAAAAAAAAAAAAAAACCCAACATATATAAGTATATAAGCTCCGGAGTATAAGTTGGACCAGCCAGCTAGAGTGCCCTCTAGCGGCTGTCAGTGGGAAAATAACAAACGTAAATTTTCAGTGGTACAGGAGTAGCAGATACTGGTACACGAGACTAGAGTGCCCTCTAGTGGTCTGTCAGTGTGAAAATAACAAAGGTGAAATTATATATATATTTTTTTAAATTTATATATGTCGCACCTCGGTATACGTCAGAAACTTGGCTAATGGTTGAAATAAGTGCGACTTATAGTGCGGAAAATACGGTAAAAAAGCTCTAATCTACAGCATTCCAAAAGTGCTTTATTTCTTTCGGGCGTTATTTTTGAAAATACTTCTCTACAAGTTTCTTAGATATTTTACATTTTACAATGTCAATTTAAGATTACCCAGACCACCGACCAAAAAAAAAAAAAAGGCAGCTTCTTACTTGCCTTCTCTTCACCTACCTTGGTCTTATCCACCGACCCTAGTTCACACACACACACACACACACACACTCAAACACACACACACACATGCACGTGATTTAGTGAGCGTGACTGTTACGGGGCCTTATCGGTGTCCTCAGAGGCCTGGCATCCACTTCACAAACTCGGATTCTACAGATGCCAAGGCCGTAGAGACGAGTCCACGGGACTACTAAACCGGTGAACAAAGAGACCATAGAGTCAGGCAGGGTTCTATGGAAACAGCTACAGTACATGCTGCAGGGAAAGGCAACAACCCTGGTAGGGTTCTATGGAAACAGCTACAGTACACGCTGCAGGGGAAAGGCAACAGTTGCACATTGGCGATGGGTTAAAACAGGGTTTCTCAATTTACTATTTTCTGCCGCCCCCTAGGGGACAGAATTGGAATACTATTGAGCACCTGGTAATACGTATTTATTTATCTGTACGAACCACTGTAAGAGTGGCATCGGCATTCTTCATACACTCCCCTGGCTGTTAAAACAGATTAATAAAATAAGCTACAATGCTGCCATCTAGTGACTGAAGACTTGCTTATCGTCCGTAATGTTCCGTGTTCATGTGTTATGATGGAGTTAACAGTTAAGGGAATGGGGGGGAGGGGAATGAGGAGGCTTGGTGAGAGTGCGTGTGTATGAGGAAGAGAGAGAGAGAGCGCCCTCTAGCGGCTGTCAGTGTAAAAAATAACCAACTTAAATTTTCAGTGGTACAGGAGTAGCAGATACCGGTACACAAGCTTAGAGTGCCCTCTTGTGGCTGTCAGTGTAAAAAAAATATGAAGAGGTACATTTTCAGTGGTACAAGAGTAGCAGATACCGGTACACAAGCCTAGAGTGCCCTCTAGTGGCTGTCGGTGTAAAAATAACAAACGCGAAATTATATATTTTTTTAATATATAAGTTGCATCTGAGTGTAAGTCACAAACCTGGTCAAAGGATGTAAAAAAGGTGCGACTTATAGTCCCGGAAAATACGGAATTTTAATGCGCAAAATTAATGAAATCAACAGAACAACCTTTCACAGAAATGATTTATTTCACATAAATTCTACGGTGGCGTTGGAGGTAGTCGGTTTTTGGTTCTCTTGAAATGTGTTTGACATTGTGAACCATGCGATTTTTTTCGAAACAAACGCTACTTTCTGTGGTCAATCGAACTCAAAACATTTATATGCAGATGATAGCGTTAGAGCCATTTTGCTCTTTTCTGCAAATTGAAAAAAAAATAAAAATAAAATAAATAAAACGTCGATCACATCTCCATTCCTTACACACACGTTTGTCTGCAGCTCCCACCTCTTCTGCGGGGGGGTGGGGAGTTCGAGTTCGACTGAAAACCGCTTCACGTAAACATGTCTACGGTTGAGAGCAGTGAGAGAAAAATGGCTGCCGACAGTTTCGGACAGCTCTTGGGTCGCAACGTGATAGCGATCGGCAGTTCCGTATCAGCAAAAAGCTGATCTTAAAATAAACTGGACCAGCGAGTTATATAGTCTTCGTTTTGTCTTTTAAATGAACCACCAACGTGACCCGACCGCACAAACATGCACACACTTCACATGGCAGGAAGTAAAGAAATTGTCGGGGATATTGCTGGTAGAGTTGTTGGCAGCGGTTTGGCACATAAACGCAGGAAATGGTACCTCCTAACTGAGCTGTGCTTCCTGTGTGATAACCGAGTCGCATCGTGTATTTGACAAACACAACTCACTCACACACACACGCGCACACATTGTTCTGAAAGATTTTTTTTTTTACAGCCATGGCAAGCTTAAACTTTAGGGGGAGGATTTTGGACTCATAAATAATTCCAGTTGACATCACAGGTGTCCTTGTTCATTTTGTAAAGGTGGAATATATGCATTTATTTATATCGGTACGATACGTCTCTATCTATGTTGTCCAGCAAGTGCGAAAGTGATGCAATTATGGTCGGCGTAATTGTAATTTAGCGGCGAAAACATTACGCAAGCAGGTACACGAGAAAAAGGCCAAAAGTTACGCTAAAAGTTATAACGTAGCACACTAGCAGAGAAGGAACAGAAAAGAGAGAAAAAAAGTGTAAAAAAAAAGAACATATAAAACAAGATAAAATGTATTTAAAAAAATAAAACAATAAATTAAAAAATTAAAAAATTAAAAATTAAAAAAAAAATTTTAAAAAAAATTCCAAGAGGCATCTTAGAATTATCTTGAATTTTTTTTTTTTTTTGAAGGTTGCTAATAGGGGAGAGAAATAATAAAAGTTATCAAAAATAACAATAAAATTAAAAAAAAAAAAATACTGTTAAGAGAGGAAGAAAATTAACCACGTGTAGATTGCAATATATAAAACAATATATCCATACATAGTTGATGTGTATTTAGTTATATACGTATAACTAAATAATCGCATCAATCTCATTAAAGAGACACATTCGGCTTTAGATCTGGATAGAAAACACGGGCGGGAAAAGTCATAATGTTTTTAGTACATCAGCCTCCTCCCCTACTCATACATCTGTCTCACACGCACACGCACGCAAAGTGAAAGATTCACAAAGAGGTACACAATACTGTGCACACACTTCCTTCCTGTTGTTGGTTTTGCCTCTTTTAGAAGAGGCAAAAAAAAAAAAGAGATCTGTGAAAGATGCGGGCTACTAGGTTCTTGTCTTCTGTTCGGATGTTGCAATGTTTATTTGAAGGGTAAAACTATACGATACTATGCTACAGGTGTGACGCCGTGTCTGCCTCACCTCATGCACATTTGCTCTTGTTTCTCATCTCAGGCGGGTACTGTCAGACCACAGGACGATATTATCAGCCGCCCCCCCCCCCCCCCCCCCTCCCCTTCTCCCCACTTCCTCATCGGCAGTCACGGCAGAGGCAGCTAGCATGGGTTTCCTGTGACGCCTCCTGTGTGTCTCTTCTGGTCAATTAGTGAACTCACACCACTCCTCCACTGCATGCAAACATGCCGGCCGTCTTGTAGATTCATACGGAAGAGAGAGAGACGACGGGGGAAAAAAAAAACGACACACCGTAGCTGCCGTCGGCTGTTATGCAGTTTGCATCGAGATAAGAGTTGAAGATCTGGAATAAAACAAAAAAAAAAATGTTACAGCAGTCAGAGCTGTTCTTTGACTTTGCCAGTGACCATTTTAACATGTCACAGCAGGTGAGTAAGTGCCGTGTCTTGAGACTACAAGTAGGTTTGATTCTACACTGTAATAGAGTAAATGAATGTGATGAAACTACAATTGACATCGGTATCTTTTGTATTTTGCCATGTCCTTGCGATGCAGAATTATATGCTGTACTAGTTTCACACTGCAGAACGGTAATTAACTCGTATTGAATTACACTTTTTTTTAACGTGTTACTAAGATTACGAATAAAGTCATTAGCAGCTACATGTTTGCCGCGGCGTGCCATTTGTCGGCCAGCGGTGGTCATTTTGGTCTAACTTCCTTGATGTCAAAAATCCAGCCAATCACCTCTGCACTCTGTTAGAGCTACGGATGGCTGTGGAACATGAATTGAGACACATATTTAAGAAAACACAAAGTAGGACTTTAGGTTAACTTCAGGTTAACTAGCTAGGAAGATTTCATTCATAACCCGTGTAATATTATGTTTGTGTATGTGTATATTTCAGTTAGGATGTAACACAGATTTCCCCGGGGTGATTGTGGAGCAAGTACCTGACCAACACCTGCTCTCTTATGCGGGTCTGGTGTGTAGACAGCCACGGAGAGAGGAGGATCAGCAGCAGGTGCTTAAAGGTCAGCCCCATGCGCAACCACACACACATACGCACGCGCTATTAACAGTTAGCAGGTGTACTTGCAAACCTAATTTAATGTAAATGCGTTATTTTTTTTTTTTTTGCTTATCTTTAAATTGCCCGAATATTTTAGCTATTTTCTAACACCCGTTATAAACCGTTTACACAACTCAAATACGTACAGCTTGTTTTCCAACGGCGGTAATATTGACTTGGGTCTGCGCATGCGTGGCAAGTGCCCGTTGTCGCACATGTTCACTCTCGGCAACATACAGGAAGTGAAACAAAACATTCACATGTTGTGACATTTCGTGAACTGCGTAAGCATGTAGACGGGCTACGCGTAGTTCACGGCGCACATGTTTTAACCAGGTCACCGGTGCAGGGACTAAAAGAGTAAGTTCCGTTCCACTTTACAACTGTTTTGTCCTTCGCTTCTTCCTGTTCTCGCTCTTTGGGCTAGTTTGAATGCGGGGCATTGCAGAGAGCTCAGTGTTGCTAACGTCGATGGTAGCAGCGATAAAGTAGCGTTTAGCTCAAATGCGGAGCACTGTGTGTTTTAAAAAGTGCTACGTAGTGACAACAAGTTATTGGTTCAGCTGCGGTATATGCGCTGTCATTGATAGGAGCCCGGGCAGTTTTTTTATTGGCTCTTTGTGTGTTTTTATTGGCGTTGTCAAGGGTGTAAAGAGTGCTAACAGCTTTTAGCCAGCAGACAGACGTTAATTAGCAAACGCCGCAGACATTTAGTTAAACTGGATATTCAGATAATATCAAAATAAGATAAAAAAAAATAGAGTAAAAGGTGGCTGTATTGCTCGAGACATTAATTAAATGCACAAATATTAATTAAATTATAATCACATTGGACCTATTTTACTGTTTCCTGCCAAGGACAGACGATATAGCCCGGCTGTTGCACACGTTTAAATTCATTTTCAAATATGCCAATAATATTTGTTAGCTTTTAGGTATTTAGTGTTTTTATGGCTGGGCAATATGGTCCAAATATATATATCTTGATATATTTTTGTTACATGGCGATACGCCATATATATTAGTATTCAGTGTGAGTTTTTTGTTTGTTTGTTTTTAAGAAATATATATATATATATATAATAATGGCTGGTTGTGCTATGTAGAATCCAAATGCCAAGCACAGCTGCTAATTTCCAGTGGAAGCCTCATACACTACCCGTCAAAAGCTTGGGGTCACCTGTAACATTTTGGGGTTTTTTTTCCCCATTAAAACTCCATTACCAAACAGTCAAGTTGCTTCCACAACAACTCACTGGGGTTAAGATCTATCTCTTCCTTTTATTGACCAGTCTCAGATATGGCTTTTTCTAAGCCACTCTGCCTAAAAGTTTCTGTCCCGAAAACTTGGATGTTGACACTGACGTTTTGTGCGTACCATTTAATGAAGCTGCCAGTTTTTGCCACTATTTTAGTTTTTCCACCATTTCTTTAACTCAATGCTCTAATGAGCTTGTCTTCTTGCCCAATTGCTGTTTAATTTGAATGTTATCGTCATTGAAAAAAAACCTGTGCTTTTCCCTTCAAAAATAAGGATATTTCTGATATTTCATTTTAATGTTATATATGTGAAGTGGAATAAGGGCTATGAGTTTGTATTTGTTTGGCTTATTTTCTGACAAATACACACACAAAATATTTTCACGCCCCCCCAAACCCTCACCCATGTGAATTGAAATACTATTGAGAACCTGTATATAATAACCTATATTTTTAATTTTACATTTTCCCAGCCTGGGATCAATAAAAGTACATCTATCTCTCTATTATCTGTACAAACCACTGTGTAAGTTTGCTGCCACCTAGTGACTGGAGGCTTGTTATCACTCAAGAATTACAGCAGTGGTACACTTATGTCTATTGGAAACCCTTTCTTGATATACTTTTTGCAGCGACGCAAACATAGGCTAAACAGCAACGGGAATTGTCAGTGAAATATATAATGTCGGGAAATGAGACATTGCTATGTATTCGGGAGCGCACTCAAATCATCATGCTATACCCTCGTGGAATAATATTATTCCATTTTGTGGTTTTTGTAACTTGAATCCACAAAGTGAATTTATCAGACATAATTTTGTTTGGGGGAGTCTGGATTTTAACAATATAAAAAGTAAAAAAAAAAAAGGTTTGTCATCATACTGTATATTGTAGTGTAGAAAAAAAAAAAAAAAAAAAGGTTTGTCGTCATACTGTATATTGTAGTGTAGGGGATGCTTAATCAATTGCTTCTTATTACATTGTGCAAAGTTGTAGAGCTACTGTATATAAGACTGACGAGAACAGCGAACACAACGTACTTAAGGTTCTGTTCGCTCCTCCCTGTGGACAAAGGGGCAGTTAAGCTTGTATCCAGGCAGACAGGCAGCTTAGGGGCATTACTTATCAGATCTTCATTGATTACACCACCCACAGGCCATCCCTTTAACCACACCCATCATGGTAATCACCCAAAAAAAACCCCCAACATTCACACTCAGTGTGGCTGCATCTGTAGTAGGGCTGCACGATTATGGCCGAAATGATAATTCCATTTATTTTTTTTTTTATCAATGTTGAAATCACAGCTATTATTCACGATTGATTGTTCGTTATGAAAAAACAAAAAAAAAAAACGCGGCCAGCGCGGACTTGCCTGAATGTGCCAACATTCGGTAAATATTACCCGAAAAGCCTTATAATTTGGTTCAACTCATCTTTACGTCTTAGACGTCTCTTTGAAATCCGTCCATGACGTTCGTGTTGCCCGTGTGTCTAAACTGCGTTTATTCACAGCGTCCCTTGTCTGTTGTCTGCAGTGGAGCTGTGCGATAGCGAGGAGGAGACCATGGAGACACTTGTTGCTGCCGACTCGCTTCTTAACATGGACTGTTCCGAGGTCCTCTCCCTGGAACAGCACTACTGTAAGTGAACACACGCACACACACGCGCGAGAAAAACAACAACAGCCACTCCTAACGCTGCACGTTAGCGGAGAGATTTCCGAGTAAAACCTCACTCTTGGTTTTGTTGTTTTTATTTAAACAAAAACAAGTGTTTGACTCTAGCCATGTTGTGAAATAAACCATACCACACCCAAAAAGTGTTTGACTCTAGCCATGTTGTAAAATAAACCATACCACACCCTCCCGTTCCCCTCCCCTCCCCTCCATATCCCAGGTTTGCTACCATCACTGGCTGATGTCGTCACTGCTCCGGTTACCCAGGTATCTGTGTCAACAAAGGAGATTGTGGGATCTGTTGACCAGTCGCTGTGGCACTCATTCCACGAAGAAGAGAAGCCAGTGCAGGTGCAGTCCAAAAAGAGAAGTGAGTGACTTTGTGTTTCGTGAGCTGGCAATTTATCTGACATATATATATATACACATATATACACACATATATATATACACATATATATATATATACACATATATATATATATGTATATATTTACTAATAAAAGAAATAGCACAGCACAAGAAATACAGGTAAAATCAGACAGCCGTTCTCAGCGTGTATATTTGGAGTGCGGGCTGAGGCAGGACTGATATATGTGTATATATATTTAAATATGGCATATTTTTCCAGTCACTAATAGCAAGAGGGAACCTTTTGTAATAATCTAAAATCAAGATAAACATACATACATACACAAGTATTTCATCAACATCAACAGGTAACTGTGCTGTTATATATTAATGAAACTCCTCATCTCATGTAGGAGCAGTGCAAAATATTTTGTTTTTTAAAAATATATAAAGTTTGTTAAACAATTTGGGCCTAAAAAAAAAAAACAAGTCTATTTGTACTGAACGATCTGTACCAAACTGTTCAGGACATATACTACGGTTGCAGACCTAATATACATGTATGTTATGTTTATGTATATGTATATATATATATATATTTGTTTGTCTACTCAGGTCGAAAGTCCCGACTTCGAAGAGCAGAGTCTCCCACCCCAGACATTACAGTTAAAAAGGACAAGTACAACAAAGGTATTAAACCATTTCCAAAAAAGACACTTTGCTGGTTTATACAGGGCCACATTCAGGGACAGATGACCATAAATTGATCTAATTTATGACACGGGCATGAGTTTCTTAACGTACATTCCAAAATATTAAATTTAAAATCTGCGACGTTAACATGACAAACAACATTTTTTTTGCTTTTGCTTTTTCCATAATATCTTGTCTTTTTTTTTTTTTTGCTTTTGCTTTTTCCATAATATCTTTTTTTTTGTTCTCACAGGAGGAACGACTCTGTACTTGTGGCAGTTCCTCATGGAGTTGCTACAGGATCGACAGGTTTGCCCCCGCTACATCAAATGGACCAATCCGCATGAGGGCATTTTCAAGCTAGTAAATTCCAAAGCAGTGGCTAGACTCTGGGGAAAACACAAAAACAAGCCAGATATGAATTATGAAACAATGGGGAGAGCACTCAGGTAACTAGCGCCATCATTTTAAAGCATGTTGTTTGTACGTTTTTTTGTTTTGTTTTTTTTGCTCAGTTAGGGGAAAAAAAAGAAATCATCATCACGATTATTTTGGCAAATATTGAGATGATGACACGATAATTTATATGATTACTTATTGACTGTGATTCGAGGTAATGAACAGAAAATGTGGCATTTTTTTTATATTTTCCTTTAACTTCTTGTTGAACCTTACCCTAAAAAAACTGGAAGTAAAATAATATTTAAGTAAACACAACAACTTCAACCAATCAGCTGTGCGGTACGCTTCCAGAATCTCTTAAATAAATAAAATGAATTAAAATAAAGAATACAACAAAATAGGATTAAAATAATAAAAGGATACCTTCATATCATAAATATAATCCCCAAAAAAAAAAATTTAAAAAATACAATTTATCATGACTAAAAATACTAAGAAAGGGACCATGTTATTTAGACCAAAATATATTTGCTCACATATATATAAATATATATATCACAGTAGTTATGTTACGGCTATACAGGTACAGTTTTGTAGTTTTTCATCTGTTGACTGTGGTCTGTTCATATAGGTACTACTACCAGAGAGGAATACTGAATAAAGTGGAGGGTCAGCGTCTGGTTTACCAGTTCACCTCTCTGCCAAAAAACATGGTTTATATCACCGACAGTGGCAGCTCCAAAGAAGAAAATGAAGAAGAAGAAATTAATCACAAAGAGAATAGCGGCAGTGACGAAGGCGCGAGCGACGATTCCGACGAGGGAACGATATCCTCCATCGACCAGTCCATGGAGGACGAGGATCCATCTCCTCCGCGGAAGAAGACGTCGTCTGTGAACTCCGTCCAAGTCCACGTCAACCAGCGGATCAGGCCGGCCACCAGGGCTCCTGGTCAGCGCGACGCCATCCTGCGCTCGTCCGCCACCAGCCTGATCCAGGAGCAGCACCTGCCCATCGTCTCTGCCGAGATGTTGCGGACTCTCCAGAACCTGGAGAAGGTCCAGTCCCTGCAGCCCGCGGGTCACGCTTCCGTCTTTAAAACTGCTCAGTTGCTGGGGAGTCTATGTGAGCAACAAGCTGCAGAAGGTGGCAATGCTCACACTAAATGAGTCACAACAAGGGGGGCTGAGAAGACCCCCCCCCCACCCTCAGCCAGTGCCTTTCAGTGGATCTGACCAGTAGGACCTCCGATCATTAAAACACAGTACACTCCACTGACACAAAACCAGTTATAGAGCTGCACTGCACTGTTCGTACCACGGCCAATCCCGCTTGTTGCCCACTCTTGCGCGCGTGTCCCACTTCATGCTATACCAGCCATGGGCAAACTAAGGCTCGGGGGGGCGGGGGGGGGGCTGATGTGGCCCACCAAACTTGTCCAAATTGTATAATTTATTTATATTATCATTATACTTCTGCCCTTTTCCCCCATGCAGTACCCACATTTCCCCAATACATGGCTTATAAAATGGTAAAAAAAAAACATTTTAGCATTCGAGCCTTTTTACATGTCATTTATCTTAGTTCACACGAACGCTTCATCTATCTGCTCCTGACCCCGACCCCCCGGGGGCCCCTCCTGTTCAATTTTAGGACCAATTGTTGGCCCGCGAGCCAAAAAAGCTTGCCCATGCCTGTGCTTTACTGTCCGTTTTACATTAAATAAGTCACACGACAATTTTTTTTTTTTTTTTTTTTCCCCCCTCAAACTTTCACTTTCACAACCGTAGCACTTTAAGTTTCTGTACACCACTCTTACTCGTACGCTGTACATCGTTATCAGTTAGACACTTAACACGCCGTTTATGGACATCGACAAAAAAAAAAAAACCACGATCTCTGAAAATAAAAATAAAGGTTTATAATGCAGTAGGTCGCAATAGGTCTAGTGTCATGGATTAGGTTAGAACTTTTGAACCTGTGTTCAGAGGAAATCAGTTGTGCCGGAGTCTAAATGCTAAAAGTTTCACATATCGACTGTCACAGCCTGCTAGAATTTTTTTTTTTTTTTTTTTTTTTAAATTTTATCTATTAAAGATAAATGGCACCAAAGACATGCACTAGAATCCACAGCTTCACACCTGCTGCACTTGACCTCTGACAACACGGGGGGCAAATGACCTGATGAAATGTCCTGCCTTTTCCTTTTTTTATTTTTATTTTTTTCCCCCCTCATTGTTTTCACATGCTGATTCACTCTTCTGCCTTATTGCACTAAAGTATGCTCCCTCCTGCCCCCTGCTGTACGTTTTATTTCCTGAAGTGCCTGAAGTTCTTTAATGAACCTTTCTTCTCTAACTATTACTTTTACATGTGTGGTTAAGGGAAAACATTCCATATTATTATTATTATTATTGTTATACATGTATTTTTTTTTATATATATATATATAGAATTTTGTTTATATTGTTGAAAACAAAGGATCACTGTTGTGTATAGAGTAAGGGCTTTGGCACTGCTGCTTCAGCTTCTGTCGATGGCTTTATTCCGTCCCCCCCCCGAGTCCCTGCCTTGTTTGACAATCAGCAATGAGATCGATACGTCGCTTTTTAGGTATTGACGCGTGTTTGTATATTTTGTTTAGTAGCACGCATGCAGTACGCGTGCTAATATGGACTTCTGAATCACACGTCTGTGAAGTGTGTATCAATACTGTAATTTTTAAAAAAAAATTTTTTTTTTTTTTTTTTTTTTTTTTTGTAAAAGTGCTCGATTTCTGTGCCTTGTTTCGATTTTCGATTCCCTCAGGTTTTGTTGCACTGATCCCGATCTATGCAACCGGAAAAGGTTATGTACTTCTTTAAAATGAATGCAATTTGTTTTTTTTTTTCTGTTTTTTTTCCTTTCATGTGTTGATCTCGAGTAAGCCTCTCAACACAAAAGGTGAAGTCAAAAAAAAAAAAAATACCAGTGTGTCTATCTCCACATACGAAAGTATGTGGTGCTGAACTTGATGTCGAAATGTTTCGAATATTACCTTTCACCATTCCAAAGACAACCCTCTATGCAAAGCTTCTTTCACTTCATTAAAAAAAAAAAAAAAAAAAGATTATTTTGACATTCCTCTCAGTTTGCTTTGCCAGACCGTGTCTGTCCGTTCACTAATTTGTAAGCTTGTCTCAAACAGGTGTGTGTTTCGGACATTTGACCTTACTTCATTATTGTTTGTTGCTTTTTTTGTTTAGTTTTTTTTTTTTATCCCCGAGCTCTTTAAAAAGGTAATGATCAATTATCTAAATTAAACTAAATTACATCATCAGTTGTATTTTCTTACTGTGAAGTTTTCTGTGGAAAATCCAACATCTGCACTCAGTCCAAAGCCATGCTAACCCGATTGGGCTATTGTTTATCTTCAGCGCGGATACAGATGCAGTTCTACCTTCTAATGAGGTTTGGTTTTAATTTTCTACGGCTCTTTGTAATTTAATGGCTACTTCTCTCTGTATCAAGTGAAGCCCAAACAAATCCGTGCATGAAATATTCTACTTTCATTACTGTAGAAAAAAAAGTAATATTACATGTAAATATCACCATAAATCAAAATTTTCTACTTTCATTACTGTAGAAAAAAAAAGCAATATTACATGTAAATATCACCATAATAAATCAAAGCACAATACTTTTAAATAAGTAGTGAAGTTACAGAAAATTGGTTTTTACCATTATTCCTTGGCCAATCAAACCCGTGATCTACATATGCAGTTCTTAAGATAAGTTATGGTAAAGGTTAAAGCAGATGTGATTTTTTATTTATTACAGAAAATTGGTTTTTACCATTATTCCTTGGCCAATCAAACCCATGATCTACATATGCAGTTCTTAAGATAAGTTATGGTAAAGGTTAAAGTAGATGTTGTGGGGTTTTTTTTTATATAGAAAACACTTTAAAACCATATTCATTTAATCACAGGTCCACATGTATGGAGACAAATAACCATTTACACTCACAGTATTATCTCTTTACAATGTATGAATGCTTTGATTGGCTTAAACCCCCCTATAACCAACAGTAAAATATAGATTAATACTTAAAAGTATCTTTTTAAATTTAATTTACAACAATGTACACATTTGGTACACATGTATTTTAATATTATACATTAAATGTTATTACTTTCTCACTATTATTATTATTAATATTTCTTATGACACCAGAATTACCATTGTCTTTATTTGGACCAGGCATTTTGTCTCTTGCGCCCAAATACAATATTCTTTAAAGAAACTCCATTTAAATTTAGCTTAGCTTTAGCTTGTTGTCACTTTTCTTATGTTCCGTTGAAGTTACTCTTCCGAGCCTACAGGGGGCGCACCGTAAGTCCGTGCACCCAGTGTGGTCGGATGTTGTCGGGAAGGCTATTGCAGTTTTCACCTGTCTGTCTCCACATCTAGAACTTTCCCCCCCTGACTTCACAATAAGGCTTACACCCATAGTTAAACACATGGCATCGAAACGGCAAGTATTATCAATAACCGCACATTCATATCCACGTCAATTCGGGAGTTTAACGGCTCGTCTTCTGCTTTGCGTTTAGCAGTTTCCCGGACAGCTTCATTGACGAGGATCCACAGAAAGCTCTAGAGGTAAATACAGCATTTAGCTAATATTACATACTACGACCACTAGCTATTTCAACCCCTTTTTTTTTTGCTGCTATTTCTCCCGTTTATCGTTTAAGAGTCTACGTGTTTAACTACCCGTCTGCTCCTATATGTTTATATTAGTTATGTCGATATTTTATCGCAGTTAGTACTGTTTTTGACATTGTAACTACCCATGTAAAGTTAGCTTCCGTTTCCAGCCTCTGTAAAACCTAGCTACATTCCAGTTGCGTGTTCCTACCTTTTATAGCACCATTCACATTTCAAATAAATTGTAATAGACTGTAGATAACGACGAATGTAAGGATACTTTTGTAATTTAAAATTTAATTTTGTTTTAATTTAATTTTGCAATTTTTTTTTTTATTGTTGACACGCAGTTTCCTACCCGGTCTGGGCTGTTTTTGTTTTGACTGTTAAGTCAAAGATTTTTTTAATATATATATATCCATAATAGCTGTCAGAATTTCAACCTAATTTTATATATTATTATATATCTTATTAGTATATATTGTTCGGTGTTGTTGTTGTTGTTGTTTCTGTATTTGTTAATGTCGTCTGTTTTTCCGTAAGGCGCTAAATGAAGCTTTGCAAGAAGATGCCGACAATGCTGCGTGGCTGTGCCAGCGAGCTTTTGCCCACATACTCCTTAAAAACTACAGCAGTAAGTCCACGCTACTGTATATGCTCTGTCGTTGAATAACATAGAGCTGGCCCCAGCAATGTATATAGAAATATAGAAAATTCAATTAAAAGTGTACTATGTTACCTTTTAGCCTTTAAATGTTGGATAGCATGCTTAAAACTTAAGGTTTTTTTTTTGCATTCTTTATTGTTTTTCTTTTTTTTTTCCCTTCTCTATTACAGGCGCAGTTGAAGATGCCAAAAAAGCTCACCAACTAAACACAAGCCTTCCCCTTGCTTTTATGAGAACAGGGTTAGTACTCCATTCGGAACAAATTAGTTTGTTTCTACGATTTGAACTGAACTATCGTCAGTAGGATAAATAACTTTGTCGTGTAAACAAATTCATCCCACTGTGTAAAGCACGTTCCTCTGTATCCTTTGCAGAATAGCGGAATATTACTTAAACCACTTTGAGTCAGCACACGCGGCCTTCACTCAGGGCCAACAACTTGACGGTGAGTACAAGCTATTTTTTTCTTTTTTTACTGGTGAGACAGCTTTAGTCCTATTTGTTACTATCTTTTAAATTTAAGTTCAATAAACATGTACATGTGTTTAAACAATAAGAAATGCATGTGTATCAATGTTTAAATTTTAATGTATGCACACGTTTGTTTGTTTGTTTTTTTTAAATTAAACAGCAGTTTCTAGTACATTCCGGAAAAGTGCTAAATTGTGCATAAAGGCCAAAAGGCTTTTAGCCTTTTATACGCCATCTGTTGGGGACACGTTGGTATTGCAGGGAAAAGGCAGAAGTACAATGATAATTTAAATAAATTATATAATTTGGAGTGCAGGTTCCACTTGTCGTTCGTTCTTTAAAAAAAAAAGAAGAAATCGAAATTTGGACGTACGAATCGATATTCTGAACTATTGTTAGATTTCGCCCTCCGTAGGACTGGGTATCGATCAAAAGTTTTCTATAAAGGTACCAATATCACTACCTTTTCACAATCTCCCTGACCCACACCACTGCGAATTGAAATACTGTTGCGAACCTGATAACATGTATATTTTTTATCTGTACAAACCACTGTATGAGTTGCTGCCCCCTAGTGACCGGAAGCTTGTTATCATCCAAGCATTACAGCAGTGGTACACTTTATGTCCAGCATGCCATATTCCATTGGAACGCCCCTCACAGACCCACTATAAAAAGTAGGCAACCTTTGTTGCCTACTTTTTAAAAACTGGTTTATACCGGTACATGATTTATGTCTTTAAATCAAGAATTAAATCAATAGCTGATAGTTCACAAAGCGGCCATTACAGGTGCAGGCGTCTGTCTGTGTGCGCGCTGCGCTCAAAATGAATCCTTTTTTTTTTTTTTTCCCTTTTCACTCTCTGTGCTCTATAGTAACGTAACCAACTGCCATAAAACTTCAACCGTAACAAACAATTTGCAGCATTTGATAATTTTTTTGTAACACAAAAAGTATATTTAACTGACTACATTTCTTCATTTAGAAAATGCTCATAAAAGTTTCATCGAAATTGTTCAATTATTTCTGATTTACAGAGTCAAATGTAAATGATTGCTTTTTTTTTTTATTTTCCCAGATTCAGACAAATCCTATGAGATTTGGATCAAGCGATGTGAAGAGATGATGGGAGGTAAGCTTGACTTTTTTTTTTTTGGGTATAATTGTAGGACACTTAATTAATAGGAGCCTTTTCTCCCCGGTGGGTTGATAAAGGAAGTGTGTTACAAACTAAAATCTTTCACCATGAATTTAATAAAATTTCACAAACCAAAACGTGGCCTTGATCAAGATAATTGCGTCGGGCAACCAGCTTACAAAACAACAAAAAAGACCTTTTTTTTTGTGCAACGTTAATTTTAAATTATATTAACAGGTTGAACTTTAAAGCTGTTCGATGTATAAAGAGTTGAAAATTTAAAGATGTGCCAGTTCTCGAGTTATTGTGTCTTATATACTTTCAGAAATAATGTTTAAAATAGAACTGCTTTTTATGTAGGCAATTAAAACTACTTTGTAAAAGTATTAACCCTTTGGGATTAATAGGGTATGATTTTGTATAAATTATACATATCTATCTGTATATAATTTTTTTTTTTTTTTTTTTTTTTATACGGCCAATTTAAAAGGAGCTTGAAAGTACAGCGTTGCTGTTTCGCTCAACTGTCAAAGCATGTGTATTCAAAAATCTTGTAATTTTATAGTTGGCAGAAAGAATGTTTTTTTCCAAAGAACTTTGTTTCCCCTGATTTGATGAACATTCCAGCCTTGTGAGATGTGTTATAAAAGAAAAATATTCCAATCTCTTACGCCAAGTTTTGTTCTCTTTGTTCAGATCAGACACAAAACTGCGTCGACAAGGTAAGTTCCACTATACGGCCACTTGGGGGCAATGTTACTTTCAACATCATTGGACAGAGCCACATCTTTGCATGTTTCTGCTTTGAAGAAAGGGATTTTTTTTTACCCAAAATGCTTGTTGTTTTTCTGTACAATTTGTGTGTGTTGTTTTTTTTTGTTTGTTTGTTTCATCCAGCACCCTAACTAAATGTTTTGAATTTCTTTTTCGAAAACTACATGAACCAGCAAACGCCAGCAGCTCCACTTGTAAAGTAAGTGTGTACCTTTGCCTGTATCTTTTTCTTTTCTAAATGTGAGCTGAATAAAAGATAACTTTTTTTTTTTAAATTACTTATAATTGTTTCATTTTTTTTTTCTCTCACAGACATGATTGGTACCAAACAGAATCTCAAGTTATCGTCACGCTCATGGCAAAAAATGTACCCAAGGATGGCGTATCTGTCAAATTCACAGAAAGAGAGGTACAAATTTCAGTGTTTTTATTAAGTCATGTTTGTATGTGCACGTCAAAGAAGGTGTTTACTCGGGTGATGCCGATATTTGGATTCCAATATTATACAGACCCGACATTGTATATGTATAATTCACCCTCCAAAGAGCCTGGTTGTTTGTTGTTTATAGATGAAACACATGCACGATCCAGGATCGGCCACAGAATTATTTTTGGTAAATCATAATAAACAAAACCTGGTTAAAAGTTGACGAATGAATTTTTAGATACGTTTCGATTATGTTGTGTCTTTTCATTGTTCTTTTAGGAAAATATGAAAGATAATTTGTGGCAAAAGTGACAAGTAATTTTTTTATTTCCTCAGCTCAACGCTATCATTCAGTTAGCGTCAGGGGAGGACTTCATCTTTCACCTCGACCTACTGCATCCCATCAACCCTGAACAAAGCAACTTCAAGATCCTCTCCTCCAAGGTATCCATTTCATTTCAGTATTTGCATTTGAACTTTACAGCTTTCTTTCTTGTGTTTTTTTTTTTTTTTTTTTTTTTTTTTTTTTGGCTAGACAAAATATTGAAGAAATACATATTTTAAAGGGCAAACTTCAGCTCTGTAATCCAGCCAGACAAACTCGTCCAAATTACATAATCGGATTGAATTGTGATTATGCTTCTGCATTGAGATTATAAAAGAACAAGGTTACCATTACCATTAAAAAGGGTTAGGGTTAGCGAAACAAAAGACGCCTTCGCTCAGTCTTAGCGGCATCAATTCAAAAGACACGTTTGGTTACAGGGTAATAAATGTGTATTTCAGAATAGCCGGGCTAATGAGTGTTCTGGAGAATGTGCGCTGAATCAGGGTTTTCGACCTCCTTGTATCACTGCGATCCAACCAAATTCTTTGCTTTTATGAATCTATCCTTGGACTTGACGACGAAACACAACATTAATAGTAATAGTAACGGTAACTGACCTTGTCAAGCTTTATGACAAAGAATCTTCACACACTTTATAGCCATTCAGTAAGTTATCCAAGGTCAGGTTGTAAAGGAAGCGCTTAAAAAAAAAAAAAAAAAAAAAAATGGGGCTGGCTCTTCCCTCGGGTCGGAAATGTATGAGCCACCTCACCAGGGAAGATGCATTTTGGAGGCAGCCCTAGGTTTGATGATCAGTTTATTCAATTGAGGTCCAGCTGATCTATTTTTTTATGATTATTATTATTATTATTATTAAAGAACCAAACAATTTCAACTTTAGACAAATATGAAAACATCAATACAGATGTGTCGAAACAGCCCGTAGGTTTTTCATCATTGGTGAATAATCGTCTCTGAATTTAAAAACAAACAAAAAGAAAGAAAAAAGATTAGTAGTACTAGTAGTTATAGTTGAAGTAGACGGACATTTTGGTGTAATTTGTAATTTGAGGGGGAAAATGGAATTTTGTTAAACAGCCTTCGCTCTATACTGTATGCGTTATATTCACCGTCTTCAACCTGCTGAGATCTGCACAGTAACTGCCCACTCTTTTAAAAAAAAAAAAAAAAAAAAAAATCCTTCTTTCA